CTCCGGACGAGGAGTCATCCATGGCAATGATTGCAAGGGATGATGGAGGAGCAGTCAAGGCTTGGACTGACTTGCTCTCCAGCGTCGACTCGGGGTCTAACGACAGGACACGTACAGTGCTGTCATCACAGCCCACAGCCAGGAACGAACTTCGCAGGCGTCCTTCGGGGATTTCACCCAAGCTCAGACATGTGACAGTTCCGAACATTTCCTTCTTCTCATCGTACTCGGCAAGGGATCCATCACCATCCATTTCGAAATAGACAATCTCACCCGAACTGAGTGCCACTGCTACCTGATGCTCGTTGGTGGTTGCCGCGACAATGGATCTGTGCTGCGGTGCGGCCCATTCGTTGACTTGGCCATGTCGGATGTGACGAATGCCTTTGGGATGGACCTGAATGAGGCCGTCTTCGCCCAATAACTGTGCTGCCAAGGTCGGCACAGATGTCAGGAAACCGGAATCACTGACCTCCTCTACCGTTTCACCGATACTCAAAACCAGAGTTCCGTTGGTGAAAGATAGCACAATATACGCATCGTATTGATCGCCGCGGCTCAGCTTGAGAGTCCAAACCGCCGAAGGGATGCCGGGCAGTTCGGACGCCACAATCTCGTTGACTTCCAAGCCATGCTTCAACATCCTGAATGTGCTACGGGCACCGTTGCCGCAGGCTGTGTAGATTTGTGGTGCATCCTCACCAGTCAGGTTGGCCACCTTACAGTCGAGAAGGGGGTTCATGGAGTCAATGCTCTCGACTGAAGCAAGATTCTCCAGCGGTCTGGGATGGAAGTAGACCGCTTCGTAACCAGCCCTAGGGTCTGTTGGGAAGTTGTCGCTTGAGAATTCCAGTTCCTCGTCGTCGTCTCCGAGCTTCTCGAACTGGTAGAATTGGTGGTTGCCAAATTGGCTGGCAGCGTAGAGGAAACCGCTCTTGAGAATGCAGAGGCTAGATGATACCGGCACCGTGTCGAAGTACTTGATCTTAAGCCGCTTCACTTCGCCGGTGGGATTGCCATCTGCATCCTCAACCATATCGAGGGTCGCCTTGAAAAGGTCCCCATCTTCAGTCTGCAAGAGGAAGAAAAAGGCGCCGGCACTACCTTTCAGCTTGTGCATGACGCCAGACACCACGTGCCGCTTCCTGGACGGGTCTTCCGTTGCACCTCTTCGGCGCGGAATGGGCACACGGAAGGCTTCCTGGTTGGAGTGCCTGTATGTGATGTTTTCCTCTCCACAAACCAAGACTCCACTGGGGCCATCTTGACCACCTGGGACTTGGAACAGCAGCGAAGCCGTGGGATCGACGGGTTCGGACCATTTCCGGACGACGTGGTTCAATCCCAAGTCCAACTCATAGTACACCAGCTGAGTCTCTGCTTCCCGAGCTGCCTCTCCTGTAGGATCTTGGTCTGCCTCAGTGTACTCGATCTCGAGCGCAGCAAAGACTGGGTTGGCATAGCCGACGTCCAACGCGACCATGCATAGCACCAGGACTCCGGGCTTGTGTGCCTCGAGAGGCGACGAGATCGTGAGCTCGGCCTGCGAATTGCGGTTGAGGACGTATACGAGCTTATTCTTCTCGACTGACGCGATCATACACGCTCTGCCTTTCGGATCGCATGCAAGATATTCTCCAGGTATAACTCGTCGTACCCCAGACTTGCCAAAAGTCTCCAGATGCAGACGCTGAAACCGATTCTGCGCTGGAATGTACTCGACGATTGTGATCCTTCCAGAGTCAGTCGCAAGGATGAGATAGTCTTGACGCAAGGTCAGCAAAGTCCTTTGGCAATCAAGTCTCACATCCGAGGTCGAGCGACATTGACTGCATTGACACCTGTCGCGACCGGCAAGCTTCTCAAATCACTAAGTGAAGCTTAAAATGGAATGTGGGACACGAGACATACCTTTGTTGCTTCCAGCCAAGCGGAAGGCGGCCATAGATCTGATGATGCCGAAAATATCGTGCGAGAGGAGCGTGATGACCTTCCCCTGTGACGGATCCGGGCGAAGCAAAGTCAACCGCGACCCTGATGCTGTCACAATGTTCTGCTCCTTGGTGCCAGAAAACTGACCCAGCACCGCCTGTGTGACATTGGTAGGCGATTGAAGGGTCAGGGAGTAAAGAAACATGTTCGAGGTCGTCGCCATGTTTGCAGGTGAGCGCAGATAGCCTGCGCGGCCTCAAAATTCGAGCTCGAATGGATGGGCGATGCAGAAGACGCGATGGTGTTTTTGGAGCGATGGTGGGTTGGGAGGCTGGAAAGCTCCAGCGCGAAATTTCAGAAGCTCCAGGTTCCCACTTGGCGCCTGAGACCTGCGTGGTGGAGACCCGCGGCGTCGGCATCTTGTTGATCCGAGCTCCCCGAAATTTCGGGTCGGCCCCGTCGTCGATACAGAGCTCTCTGGAAGCTTGTGAGAGAGGGAGGATTCTTGGTGTCAACGCAGGCTGCAACTGGACTTACGTATACCATCGGGCGTCATGGAGCCGGCTTTCAGAAGAGCAGCGTCAAGCGCTTGCGGGCAATGCTCTGCAGCATTGAGAAGGCAATTGATTGCCAACGGAGTCCCTAGAATCACCCCTCGCATCGCATCAGTCCACTCGACCCGAAGCCTCCATTCCACCGTTTCTAGGAGATCGCAGGCCAACAATGTGCCCACAAGACAATTTTCTTCGTCCCCGAAAGCCTCGAGCGAGGCGGCAGCTGTAAAGCCCTCTACCAACGAATCGTCGACCCCCAAGCTCCGATCAGACGACCTGTTCCACTCTTTCACGAATTCACCCATCCCGGAGATTCGACGACGTGCGGCTTTCATGCGCCAACATGCCTACTGTTCTCACCCCGATCATCGCGCGACAAGGGTTCCGACCGTCGCACCCCATGACGAGGAGAAGCAATCGCAAACGGGTCAGCTGGCGCCGGCGCACGTCGATTTTGAGTGTCCTGATTGTGGAATTCCCGTCTCCTGTAGCAAGGAGCACTGGATGGACGATTACGAGGCTCACCTCGAGATCTGCGATACTTTGAGGGAGATCAACGAGGATGACCATGACCTACGATCTGGCCGGACCTTCCCGGAGTTCGTTATGGCAGATGATCAGATGCCCGAGGCGGTCGTCAACATGACCAACTGGGACACCTTCATGTACAGCCGCGAGTTCGAGGCTATCAATGATGAGCGCAGCATGCGACAGGTCACGAAGATGCTCACATACCCCATCACAATTGGCAGTGTTCTGCATGAGTTGAGCCCTTACAGCGTCAAGCAGGGGGAGAGGTTGACGAGCGAGGGTTTGAAGAGTTTGAGTGGTGAGTCAGTTGCATAATTCACAAGTGCGATGAGCTGACAAGAAGGCAGCTTTGCGGTATACTCTTCATCCTCCTCTTTCCGGGAAGGGTACTACCATGAAGGAACTTCGTCCTGAGGCACCTCCCGTGAGAGTCTTCTGCTTGGGAGCGCGTGCCGAATCATCCCTGCCCAGAAACGTCTGGCTCCAGCTTGCTCATCTCTTCCCAGAGAGCAAGATTCATCTGATCTTCATTGGCCCCGAAAGCATGGCTAACCGAGACGATGAATTCCCTCTGCCGCAGCGGACGCCCGAGAACCCATTTGGTATGGTAATCGAGGACCGGATATCGCACAAGATGAAGATCAGCACCATCGTGGACTACTACCACACCATCCATAAGACCGGATACTTTGCGCCTTACGACCCGTACTTTGACTGCTTCTGCCTCTTCCATCCTGGTTTGGGCCATCCCGCAAGCAGCCACGAGTGGACCGAGACGCTTCCTATGCTTCTGGAGACCAAGGTCCCGATCATTGCTACAGGTTACACCCAATTTGATATGGAGAGAGATATCGAATGGGTCAGAAAGACCGCTGCTGGCGAGTTTGATGTTCTGTTGGAGCCTGGCGAAAACCTTTTCCGCAGCTTGAGGTGGGATCTGAATGACCTGGATCCCCAGGACGTCAGCTGTGGAAACTGGGGAGTGTGGGCGTTCCGTGGAAAGAGGTATGCAATGCACAGTCGCCATTGATGTGGTCGGTCGCTAACAAGGAATACCTAGGTATGAGACGACTAAGAAGGATGACGAGTAGACGCTCGTCATATTGCTGATGAATCAAAATGGGAATGAAGTTGGACCACTTATAGAGGTTCTGTAAATAAGTGTATCATACTCACCGGCATGTGCATTGTATAACACGAAAGGGGGGAGAAAAATCAAGACCAAGTCGACTCTGTAATCAATTTTGCTGTAAAATGTGTCCTACCTCCTCTTCATGACTGACTATCCGATCCAAGAATTGTATGATCTGTACCGAAGATACTGCGAGGATCATGACGCACGAAGATCACAGAGTGAAGGACAGCTACGGCTAAGTATAACGCTGTTCGGAATTCGACTTGAACATGTGCGTAGTATTCAGTCATGCTACTGAGCTGTGTTAAGATGGGGCGATTCTCGACGTTTTCTGTTGCGCCAACCTTGCACCAAAGACAAGGTAGGTAGGCTGACTCGCATTAGCAAGGCAAGACAAGCGCATGCGTTGTCAAATGTTCCGGCAGGTCGGGTCCGGTGGCCGGGGCAAGTGCCGGGTTGTCCTCTGCAGATGCGGGCCACTCCGGCAGGTGCCTCCTTAATGGAATGGAAGGGACCTAAGGCAAGGTGCCTTATGTAAGGCGCCCGCCCTGGCGGTCCTAGCGGCCTGCAGAGCACAGGGCCACGGCCATTGAGCCGCTAAACGCACCTGCAACGGGAGACAAGCCCTTCCTTGTAACCGACCAGCACCGGGGGGCAGGTCCCCAGTTTCCGCCTGCTGTCACTCGACCACCTCACAGATCAGCGTCGTCCGAAATCTTGCTGGCTGCAAGTCAAACTTGACGACAGCTCACTCTCGCGACTTTTGACTGCCACCGTCAAAGGCTTACACGCTACAGACTTCGAAGCTTCGTACCATGAGAGTGTGGTCGCGCCAACCATAGACGGCCATGGCAGCTGTCGCTACCCCTCGCGCTCCGACGCCGCGACCGAAAGCCCCCGCGACCGTCAGCTTCTTGAACGATCCGGCCGCGGCCGCTCCTACACCTCTGGCCACCCCCGGCGCCGAACGAACCCGCCCTCCGCTACAGACCAATCCTTCCGCTCGCCGATCTGCTCGACCTACTCCTACAGACTATCTCTCCGACAAAGCAACCGCCGCCTTCATCCGCCGTGTCCTGTGCTCCAAGCACCTCGCCGAAAGGGGGAGGGCAACACCGTCCCCGATCGAGGAACTACTGCCACCCCTGACCAGCCGAAACGATGTCGATCTTCAGCTATACGCACTCATATCTGTGATTCTGAGGGAATACGTACAAGTGTGGTACAGCAAAATCACACCCGATGACACTTTTGTAGACGAAATCGTCCAAATAATCGCCCATTGTACAAGGGCCCTGGAGCAGAGATTGCGAAAGGTCGACCTCGAGAGCCTTTTGTTTGACGAGCTTCCCGATTTACTGGATAGACATATCCTCGGTGAGTCAAGACATGCAAATTATTAGGCCAGTCTTTCACTAACGTCCACTCGATAGCCTACCGCGCGGCGCATGATCCGGTGTCTCGACCACCAACTGAAATAGACCCACGAGAAATCTATCATTCACTATGCCCTTTGGCTCCTTTGACGCCCATACCTCGCCCCGAAGACCCCTCGTCTGTTGCGAGACAGCAAGAGAACGAGACGCTTTATCGTCAGCTGTTGGTACAGGGCGTCCTGGCTGTTCTCCTACCGACCGAAGACCTCGAAAACGATTGCTTGACCTCTCTCGTTGGCCAAATCTTCTCTGAGCTCATCATTGGCAACGTCCTCGCCAATCGTCTTTCGCAACCATGGCTCATTTACGAAATATTTATCATCCTCACCAGAGTTCTCGACAGGAAAGCATCAGAGCCTATCGAAGAGGGAGTGGCGGAGGCGTTGCAGGCCGGGTCAACATGCGCCCTCCCCAGGCCTGTTCGTCGCAGTTGGTCCATTCAGGGCGCGTTCTGGTCGCTCGTACAATGGTCATTTCTCGCTTTCTCGACTGTCCGCTTCCTCGTCATCACTCTCGCAATGTCTTCATCCCTGCCACCAAGGTTAGACGGCGAGCTGAATGAAAAGGACCAAGTGACTGGTCAAATATCGCATTCGAAGACGTTGAATCCTCCAGCTAGCTCGAACGAAGGGCAGCCTGTCAAAACACCCATTGCTGCCTTCAAGCTGTGGAGTTGCGTAGCAGATTTGATCGAAATGGACTCTCGCATGCCTTGGTTGAGTGGAATCATGTCACTTTTCCAGCTCGGGGCAATGAGCGGCCCAGGACGTATTGCTGGTCTCAATGGAGCCATGGACAGGTAGGCAACCATCACTTTGTTTCTCCCTCTCCTTCTCTAGCAATCTCACGTCACACCGCATGAGGTTCAAGTCACTGGATCTCAACCAGCTCCAGTGAGCAATCAGCAGCGCCCCGTCAGGCGAGTGAGTGAGACGGGATGGCTTTTCCTACGACAGCCTAGTTGGCTGCACTGTGGATGGATTTGTGGATGAGTTGATACGGGCTATGGCGACACACACCTTGGGGTGCACGCAGCGATGGGGGTCGAGTCTCTTGCAGGACTGCGCGAAAAAGCCGAAATATGCTGTGTGACATTCACACCTGGCCCATTCTGCGACCCAACCCTGACTTGACCTCGTCCCCCCGAATCCTCAAAACATGCGGTTGCATCCCAAGGACCTCGTGGCTTCCGACCAATCGCAGCCGGCGTCAACTTTGCTCGCCTCCGATTGCTCGATGGGCCCTCGCGGGGCTGCGCTTCCATCCACCAGCAAGCCTCATTTACGCGCCCAAGTCCAACAGCGAGCATCATTTGGCAGGGGTTCATTTTCATCACCGTCATCTTCTTTGCCCAGCGCACGCCTACGAAAATACGACGCTTGGTCACCTACGGAAAGCTATCAGTCCTGCTGGCCTCCTGACGCCCCGCTGCGAAGTCGGTGGTGAAAGCGGCCTCGCATATCGGGACGCAAATCCTACCTGCGCGGCCTCTTTCACCATCTGGTCATGTTTGGGCTGATCGCAAGCTTCCGTCCCTGACCGCCAGCCGATGCGTATAATCAGGCCGGAACGGTCCAGGCCATGGGCAGTCACTCGATCCGTCCCGAAAAACGGGCTAGCAGCTTGCCGGTCCCCGCTCAGCGCCTAATTGCCTGCCCTCCATGGACCGATGCGAAGCTGGGCGGACTCAAGCTTGGGAGCTTAGCTGTATCCCGGCTGGCATTTCCGGGTCTCTGCGCATTGCCATGTGCTCACATACACCTCACCGCAATGGAAGGAACACATCTCGACATTAAGACCAATATCATCCACGCGCCTTCGACTACAGGACCAAATCAGAGCCTTCTAGACTGTCCCCATCGCCAGCAAAGGGCCTCAAAATCCAGATACACCTGCTCGTCAATCCAGGAAGCCATTGAGCCATCTCAACAACCAAAGACAACAACATCCGTCGCAATCTCGTCATCGGGGGGGGGGGGGGGGGGCGTCCCGCCCCCCCCCCCCCACCCCCTCGTCCCCCTTCCCCCCCCCGCCCCCCTCCCTCCTCTCCCCCCCCCCACCCCCCCCTCTCCCCCGTCCGCGCGGCGGGTGGGGGGGGGGGGGGGGGGGGCGCTCAGCTACCCCTGCTCTCAACCTCGTGTCACCTTGACCTAGCCGTCTCCATTCCTTTCCTGACATCCCTCCTTCTCTCACTTCCCCTCCCGCAGATCGTTGCTTCCCTTTGTCGGTTCACACAAAAGCCCCTGCAACCCCCCACACACTTGACCGTCGCGACTGTCCGAGTCGGAAGCATACCCGGGAAGAAGCTGACATGGAGCGCTTGCCGCGTCGAAATACAGGCTCATTTCGCACACCATTCACCAACGTCTTCTCGACGCCGCATTACTGCCAACCATTCTCCGCTCCATCCGCGCCGCTCTCTTCCCCAACAACGCCCCCGGCGTCTCGACCTTGGTGGCCCCCTCTTCCGACGAGGAGCTGCGTTCCTTACGCCGCAGGTGCGCTAGCGCCATGCTAGCCAGCATCCCGCCTTGGTTGGCTGGCCTGTATCTAGGCGGGCGAGGCCTTGGCTTCCGGTGGCGGTCCGGACCGGAGTCAAGGCCTGGTGCTGCTGATGATGCTGCTCCTTTGCCCATGAGCGAGAGCGAGGCCGATGTTCCTGGCAGGGGTGATGCCACTAACGGGAACAGAACTAATGATTTAGGTAATGAAAGTAAAGAGAATGAGGACGAGGATCAGCAGCGAATGCTGGCCGAGATCGAAGAGAGCATACTCGATATCTTCTCAGACGAATACTGCAACAAGCACTTGGTGTACAGCATCCTGGAGCTGATTCTGGTGAGACTGATGCCGGAGCTGGTGGAGAAGGGCGTCGTTGAACTCTGGGAGGAGCGTCTGAGTCTGTGACGGATAAATTATGAATGAGTTTCTATGCCTTTCTGCCTGTTTTAGATACCCTTGTTAGTCTGAAAAACGCATTTTGTAATTCCGCATGATGAAGCAGTGCATTCCTTCTTAGATAACGTTCCTCATCGGAACCTCAGAACATGACACATGGTCGGGGGCAGTCACAAACGCACTTTTGATCGTGAAAGGCAAGAGAAAATGGTTTTGTGATGTTCGTGTATTCGCAAACTGGTCGAGAGGGGGGGCAAGAGGGAGAGAATGACGAAGGAAAAAAAGGGGCATATCCCTAGGAAATCAAATGCAAAAGGGGCCGCCCTTTTTTTCGTTTTTTTTTTCCCCACGCAGACTCTTTGGCCGGGGCTAGATGATGAGTCTTTGCGTACGTGTCGCATCGTGCCTTTTCCCCTCAACGTTCCTTGAGCATCCCTCTGCCTTGTGTGTGCCTTCTCGACCTCTCGCCTTTCTTCGTTCCTAGCCCGTTGATCAATTATGATAACCCGTGCCCGGCTCAAAAAGCCTTTGCCCCTTTCCGTGACACCCGCCCCTTGTAGATACCGTGCCTGGCTGACCGGCCACCTCCCAACCAATCGGAATCCTCTCCTTGCTTCCTATCCTTGTCGCCTCACAGATGCAGAGAGTGTATAAGAGAAGGCTAGGATAATACAGTATCAAAATGGTGAAATGGTTGCGAATTTCGTGCTCGGGAAAACTATGGAGAGAGACAGATATGAACCAGAAAAAGAGAGAGAGTAAGGAAAAGATGACTATCGAAAACCAGGCTTGAATCGATATGGCGCATGGAGAATTTTGCGGTGTTTCGCGTGAGCGGAATGGTCTTCCCTCGAGGGGAGCGTGAGCGTCGATAAGAATGGGGTATATGGATGTCTCGACTGAAGTTTCGAATGGGATGGATAATAGTGATGCTGTTGTTTCAAGGTAATAGAGAAAATGTCTCCGCGCCGTTGTCTCTGGCCAGTGTCCACCCCGGTCCTGTATTGATAAGTTATAATTACTTGCCCATATTTCCAACTGTCGTGAGACTGTGGACCGGTGGTGGGAAGACACGGGCGCCCGAGATTATTGTCGCGAAGTCTGAAGCCTCAAGATCCAATCGAGAAAAGCCTCGGGGCTGTCGTGAGACATTGACCGTGTATTCCTGGGGTGTCATATTCCCCATGATAGGTATCGCCATTGTGAAGTGGGCTTTAGTTTTCCCAAAAATCGGAAATCCGGTCCCGGCGAGGGGGATGTGCTCTTTGCAGAACTCTCGTCGGGTCTAGAGATTGGTGAGACCAAAATGAAGGTCGTCGTCCTGTTGTAGATGCCCACGCATGCCATGCGCGGGATGGCCTGTTTCCCAATCCAGTCCAGAATCAAAGCAAACAAACAAACAAACGCCTTGAAGAATGACGAATAATATTCTTGCCGAAAAAGGAGATTATACGCGAGCTGATATGATTTTGCTTTGCAAAGTGATTTGCCGAAGCATCAGGCCGGGTGTTCATTGAGTTACGACGGGCTCGGACTTGACCCCTAGCGACATCGAGTGAACGTGTTGCGGTGCCATCTCGGTGTCTCCTTCAGGTATCCGGTCCAAAATGCCTAGGGATTGAGGTACCCCGGATTTCGCAAGCTGATGCTGTTGTAGGCGCAATTTTTCCGTCAACCTGACCATCACCACATACTCCGTTTGGTCCAACAAGGCTCCCCCATTGGTGCTTTGGATGTAACTCAGCAACGTGTCCGCAGCTTTTCGAGCATCCTCTTGTGTCGGTGATGTCGGAGATGACCCGGCTGGAGTCGTGGCTGATCGACCAGCCATACTACTGTTGCTGCTGCTGTGATGCAGATGCGGCGATGAAGTAATGGCGGTATCTAGGCCAAAGTGGGGTGCTGCCATTTCGTGAACCGGCGATTCCAAAGCAGAAGAAGGCGCCGTAGACGCCGGGTGATACTTGGGAGTCATGGGCTCGGTTGATGCGGCCTGGTTCATGTACTCCAGATCGAGAGTGGGAAAGGTTTGGCTTCTTGGTCTCTGAAAGTTTGAAGCAGCCCCTCCATGCAGTTGGCGTGACGTATCGTTGGGGAGGAACTGGCCGGCGTTGGGGTCAGGGGAGAATGTAAATGTGGCGGTGGGACTCATCGCACTTCCTGAGAAGGACGAGTTTCCCGCATCGGTTAACGCGCTGTTGAGAGACGTAGTGCTTTGCGAGTTGGTGTGTTTGTAGGCGCCGCTATCACCATATCCGACAAAACCGAGACCGTGAACAGCGTCCTCATCACTTCTGTCGGCCGAAAGTGGAGATGGGTGTCCTGTTGGCGATGCCGGTGAGATGCCGGATGCTCCAAGAGAGGGAGAGCCAGATAGTTTCGCGTGGTCTGTGATGTTCGTTTCCGATGCTCTTCGCAAGAGCTTCCCTGATACCAGAATGTTCCTCTGCTTGAACCTCTCCAACCAAGTGGTGTTGATGGACTTCATCTGGCTGGCCTCAGGTCCGCCGTTGGTGGTACGAGAAAAGTGCTTTGCTTGATCGAGAATCTCATCGTCGCTAGGTGTTAATCCGGCGTGTTGCTGTCTCCTGACCCATGCCGCAACGGCCCGATCGATGTCAGGAAACTTTCCCTTGGTGTGCCGCCTGCCAGCGGGAGATTGACTTCTGTCCGCCTCCGGGTTCAGGTACTTCTCTTTGTTGCGTAGAACCTTGGATACGGTGCTGGGATGTCAAGGTTAGAACTTCAACGCACTCTTCATGCACATGCTTGAACCCACCTTCGTTCAACGCCAAACATGGCGCCGATATCCGTCTGCTTCACGTTGGGATGCTCAGCAGCATACTGACACATTTTCTTCCGGTCGTCGTCGGTCAAGACCCTTCGCTGTTGCGGCTGCGGGCCGTTTGTCAGCCGTGTAGGCCTTGAAGGGGCTGGGGCAACGACGGGTGCCATTCCCAAGGGAGGTGCCGAATAGCTGTTGGGATTGGTCAACATGCTGGGCCACGTTGGCTGAGACGGGATCATGAGCATCGGTAGCTGGGCATGAGACTGTTGTTGATGAGTCTGCATCGGCTGCACAGGAGCTGGCGGAGGAGGCATTCTGCCGATTGACTCAGACGGTAATCCATGGGTGACTGATGGCATGAACGTGAAGCCTCCGAAATCCGACATGCTGTTCTGATGGCCGTATGGACTCATATCTCCCCAGCTCTCGGCGCCGAAGGTTGTGTGATTGTGGCCCATATGGGTGTCTTCGTCCTGGGTGAGGTGGTTGTCCTGGTCCATGGTGGCAGTCCCCACGATGGAGTTGTTCATTGCTTATATAACTGTAAGATGCGTATTCGATCCCCAAAATCCAACTTGGCAGTACTCAAAACGAGACTGTCTGGCTGGCCTGTTGTCGTAAAGTCCAGGTTCCAGGTTGGTGATTGCGAGGAGGGGTTCCGCCGAAGGCTTCGCCTTGACTGATGGGATGACACTCAGGCCAAGGGTGGGGATTGCTGGTCCCGACAGATGTTGGTGGGTTTGGCTTCAAGAAAGGAAGACACCATGCATGGCAGAGGTGGCCAATTGGTTCCTGAAAGCGCGCTGTGCAGGCGGTCTGCTTTGTAGGTCAAGAAGCCCTGGGCCTCTCAGGGTGACTCGATGCAAGTGCGTTGCAGGCTGCAGAGAGGTGTCGGGGGCAACGTCGTCTATGAGTTGGAGGGCCAGCTAGCCGTATGTCTCTCCGTGGGTTCCTTAAACGAGAAGTGCCGGTCTGGTGTGCGGGTTCTGGAGTTGGAGTTTGAGGTCGTGCTTAGAATGCGGGTGCAACACCAACAACCCTTTCCTGTCGCGGCAACCGCCAAGTTGGTTCTCTGCCGTATCAAGAACCCCCAGCGAGTACCCAGAGTCTGTTCTAGAGGGTTTCCTGACCGTATTACGGGTTGAAACCACCTGGATTAACCGGGCTCAGGTTGTTGTGCCGGTCTTTGGCGAGTTGGTCGGGTGCTGGCGAAGACACGCCTCGCAACGATAAACTAAGGATGGGAGGAAAGAGGGATGTTTGAGGGATGATCGACTATTGAAAGAGTGCTGTTCCTGGGGAGAAGGCTTGTCTGTCTATTCGGTCGACCAGTTGAGGGTGATGGCGAACGAGCCTGACAGGACTGGAAAGTCGGATCGGGCCACTCAGAAGGGGTGAATCAGACAGCGGTATGCTGCAAGAATCAGACGCCGCGACGCACAAGGCAAGGCTTGAAGGACAAAGCTAGCAGCTCGAGGTTGGGGTAGGCGGGCTTGTCTAGATAGTAATACTAGGTATCAGGCGCACGGAAGGATGAAGGTTGTGTGGGCGGCGGTGGGCCGCAGTGTACATATGTAGAAGCTCTGCAGGCAAAGCGACGGCGGATGCTTCCCATGCCTATGTAAGTACACTACCGGCAAGGGTCTGGGGTGTGTGTCTCGTCTTCTCCTGGGGGTGTGGTGGGTATGATTGAATCTCAGTAGAGCCGGGGTCTCGACTCGGCCCCTCGGGGTGTGTGGCAGTAAACCAGGCCTTACGAAGGATAAGATGAAGTTCTCTACGTACCACAACCGCGTGGTCATTAGGTAGACGTTGAGAGGCGATGGAGGAAAAGAGTAGACATGCGCAACGTCGGCCAGGTGAAAGTCTGGTTGATGAGCGATGTGTTGATCAAGACAATGAGAATGCAAATGCAACTTGCCCGTCAGAAGAAAGCGCCCGGCAACGAGAGTGGTTGTGATAGGCCTAAGAGAATGGTAAAGCCGCAAAGGTGCGACGTCAGGACTCGAGTACAGCACCGTCTTATGCATGAAGCATCATGATATTGGCAGGGAATGAGACAGAGTAGAATGGAGAATGGTTCCGCGAGGGCAGTAAAGAGATCCCTCGCAACCGGCGGGATTGAATGAGAGAGTCAAAGAGAGAAAAACGGGGACAAGGCAAATGCCGTCAAACTGAGTTCCAGGCAAATGGGGGATGATTGTTGACGTTGACGAGGTTGCGTATCTTCTGCGATGGTGTGAGTGTTTTCATCAATGAAGACATCATAGTCGGCCTAGAATTCATGTCTAGACCACTGACAACCGCCACGGCTAGAGTATTGAGGAGGAGCTAGAAGAAGCCACTGGCTCAGTTTGTCTCCGTTGCCGCATGGGAAGAAACGACGGACCATATGGAAAACGCTGTCGACGGGAATGGGACAAGCCACACACAGACACTAGTTGGGATGCTGATTTGCTTCCGTCTCGTCTCGTCTCGTCTCGTCCTATAGCGCCTTGTCTAGACCTGGCCTCGCGGCTCGCCTCGACTTTGCTGATGTCTTATTATTCCCCCAACGCTGGCTGGTAGGCGAACGGCTACTAGCCACTCGGGGCGAAATATGCTGCCCTCTCTTGCGGCTTGCGGCTGCTTCTGGCCTCTTGAGAGTCGAGATTAGCCATATCCTTGGCCCCTGGGTTGTGGAGCTGAGTCTGTCGGCCTCATGCTAGATAATGACAACAGATGGGATGGATGGCCCAAAGGTGCGGATTGGGGAGATTCTGTAGGAAAAGCCGAATTTGTAACACCCAAGGAATACAATGGCAGACGACAACGAGCCTGGAGCCGACGGATGGGAAGAAAAAAAAGGAAAATTGGAAAACGAGATGTTACAGAAAACGGTTGCTTGGGTGCTCAATAATCAGGAAAAGCCGAGTCGGGGTCGAGAAACGGAAGAATCGCGCGCCAATTAGCTGACATCAGGACCTGCTTTGCGCTGAGATTACCACCCACACGACACGCACACACACACGCACTAGGTAACATGCTCACTGGAGTACTGTGTAGGTAGTGGCCGGAAAAGAGACGACGAGAGGTCTTGATCCAAAGACGGACGGAGCATTTGCACCCTTGACGAGCTATAGTTGCGTGAGGAGAGACTGAGAGCAAGATCGGGTTAGTAGGAGACGGGGCATAGGCGAGAAGAGCGGGTTCGTTGCCTTGCTCGCTCGCCGTAGTAAGGTAGGTATTCATACATGGTGTGACGGTCGCTTCCTCTCCTCTCTTCTGCCCTTCCCTCTGCTTCCGCGATGGGTACGAGGTACCGGTAGGTACTGGCGAGTGTTGCCCCGACAAGGGGTTAGATTGAGAAGAGGGGGATATAGATGAACGGTGCGGCGGCTTGCGTGGGGATATTGCCAGGACAAGGCGGAACGTTGAGGTATCCCTACGGAGTACGGATAGTGTGAGCGATGGCGGATGGAGGGATCATCCCAATATGACAAGTGAGTAAGTAGAACGAGACGAGACGAGGCAAAAAACGAGACATGGAGAAGTAAATGAGAAAGGGTGTTAGTCTGGCATTCGTAGATGAAGCCGCCGTTTCTATTTCTTAGTATCTAGCTGTTCCCCAGGGTGAAAAGGGTATGGAAGCTAAGGAAAGCGTGCAGAGGTAGCTGCCGAAGGCTGGGCAGTAACGCATTTCCTGACGGTTCTATTGTCAACTGAAGACAGCTTACCTAAAGCCTGTCAAGGTACGTGGTTGAAGTCTGGAATGGAACATTGAGGTATCTGACATGTAACGGTACTTGCATTCCTCGCTTCGGTTCCATACCAGTGCCATGTTTCTCGGAGAAGTGGTCTTGGATAAGGTGTCTGCCTTGCCTGCCTCAGCACGCGGATGATTCAGACCTGCCCGTCTTTTGGAGTCGACCTGAGATGAACGGGCGGCATGGAAGGAAACGACTTGGACGGATACGGACGCCAAAAGGAAAGGAAAGAAACAACGTCGTCCTATCTTGGGCAGTGGACCGGCGGGCAAGCGTTGACTGGCTCACCCGTCCATTCCCTGCTCCACCACAAGCCCTAAGGACGCACGGGGCAGGGATATCTGAGCAGGGGGAAGGAGACTCTCACTCAAGAGAGAGCAGGAGCAACATGTGCACTGTGAGCTCTGCAATCCTTGCTTCCTTCCCATCTCAAGCTGCATCCCGTCAAGAGACAACCTCCTCCACTGCTCCAGGGTGGCAGGAAGACCTTGACCTTCTTAACCTCACGGCGGACCCACTTCAAGCATACGGGCCCACCTTTTACCGCCATGGTCCGTACCTTCCCCGAATGAACGAGCTTCAAAGCTCAAACAGTGGAGGGCAAGAGATGGACAGAAACACTTGGTGACCGGGGGACCTGCCTGCCCTGAGCGGAGAGCAAAGGAAAAAAAAAAGGAAGTAGCAAGTGGTAAACCACCAAGGTCCCGTCCCGTTCTTGCCTTCCATTTCCATGATACCCCGGCCAGCTTATGAGGGGTCGTCTTTTGCTGCTGTTGCTTCTCATAGGGCCATCGCTGCCCAATGCTCCTTCATTGCGACTCATGAAGCTCCATGCCTTCAATTTCATGGATGCTCGCCTGGCTCTCTTTCTCCTGCTTCACCAAGTACACTCTTCCCATTTTGTCAACAAGCATCTTCTACTCCGTCCTCCGTATGAACACCTTACTCAGACATCGTCGCAGGGGCATTTACAGCGAGCCAGTAGCAGTCTCATTTGCACTTCAAAGACCCTGACTGGATCGGGGCTCCAACTTTCTTACCTTCCCGCTGCCTTAGTCCCTCGGCACCTTACACTTTCATTCGACCGCTCGGCCGCCTGCCTCCACGTCTCCAGCCGCTCCCACCAAGCTATCCGTACATCCCAACCAAGCTACCTTTGGACGATGGACGAATACAATGTGAACGACCTGCCAGAAACACATCCACTCAACGGCCTCATCATCTGACACTCCCGCTACGGATACCCATCCTGATTCCTGACCGACACTTCGTTATAACCTCGATTCGCCATTCCTCCATGGATACGAGTCCAAGAGCCTGCGATGCGCGAATACTTTACCAAGAGGCGCCTTCCGTGCCACATTGACCTCCTATCGCACCTTGTTCCCACCACGGCCTATTAGCTCAGAGCTGTATAGATGGTATTCTCTCTCACCGATTCGATTTGCGCCTAACTCGGCACGCCGCACGCCAACCGCGAAACTTGCCTTTCCCCTCTTGCTCTCGCCCTTCTCCAAATCTAGTCCCCCAACTCGCAAACGCCTCGCGGATACATCGCCCCGACCCTACCACGCCGTACAAGTAACAAGCCTGCTTGGTTGTCTCTGGTCCGTCAAAGCTGTCAAGCGATCGACTGATGCTACGAGAAATGGCCCGCCGGCGACCTGACCCATCCCTGCCTGGCGTTGTCAGGGGAGGGGGGCAACCCCGACGTCCCACCCTTCTCTGAGCCGTTCAAAGTACGGATACAAGGCCATTGACCGTCTAGGGAGGGGGTGTGGTTTGATAGACGTAGAACCTGTTGCGGATATCCTGTCGTTCACTCGCGGACTGCTATCGCCTTTCGAGCAACCCTCAGGCCCTTGTCAGCAAGTATCAAAATAGCGTGCCATTTTGTCAGCCTCGGTCTGTTCAAATCAAGTCAACCGGGCGTTGCCAGCATAAACCTCTGCGGCAGTTTATGGCGATCAATGCATTCTACCACAGGGGCCTCTTCAGTCTGGTCTGATTACTTCAAACCACCTCCCGCCAAAATCCATTTGCGAACACTCAAATCCCACCAGAATTCCCACGTCAAACAGGCCAAGGTCTGCTGAACGCTTTGATCTCTAATTTCAAGTTTGATATGCGACGTCAATGGCAGTCTGTCAAGCCTTGCTGCTGCCCGATGTTGAACTAAGAACTACCCGAACCACTCTGACGCACCCGCCACGACATCGCCAAAGCCGTTCCCGACAGCTTTCCGTACAAGATACAAGGACTCCTCGCGACGCAATCCAACATTCATGGAATTGGCATCCACCACCGTCACACTCATCGTGGAGCGTCGCTCAACAGCCAACGCCCCTCGTTGGACGGCCAGGCAATCGCGATGGGCGCCTCCCCTTCTTCCAACGCTGAACGCAATGCTCTCTCTATTAATCATAGCTTGTTGTACTCGGTTAGATCGCCGGTCCATGCCGTCCATCTTGTGGCCCATCTCCCATTCAATTGAGCTGCCGCGGTCATGCGGTTGGAGATTTGAGTCGATACAGTTTGGATAGATCTGGCTAGCTCATCATAGGCCGGACCTTTACATTCATCTTACAACCAATGGGTCAAGAACAGGGGATACTCGCCCATATCCGGTCCACTCTTGTGAGGCATTGAACTCCATTGATCTCTGGGTAGCTCCAGCTCCATGACCACCTTTGGAGTCGTCACAAGACTTGATATGGCAGTCAGAAGACAAGCACAAGCGCCATTTCGGTCTAGGGAACCAGAGTTGAAGAAGGATTGCTGACCAACAGCAGCGCTCAAATCGTTTTCGGTATTCCCATTGGACATAAATTCCGGATTTGTCACCAGCTTCGGGCTGGTCATTGGATGGAAAAGATTTCTTTCGCATGAGGCGGTCCTAGCGAGGCCACTGAGAGACCCGGACTGATTCTCAGTTGGTCAGATGGTCACGTACGGATACAAAGACTTGCTAAACCGTGGGTCCATCTACGAGAGGCTTCGTTAAACGGATGGTCTGGCCAAGCCTCGACGCAATGGCGCGCAAATGTGAATACCTACCTCAACGGAGAGGAGAGTATGGCCGGAAGGTACAACTATGATTGGGGCATGATCCAGGTTGCGATCCAGGGTCGACCAGCATCCACCCGCGGTGGCCCGCAACGTACGCCGTTCTCAATTTGAAGCGGGCCCTGCCGACGGTATCCTAGGCCAGGCTGAATTGATACCACAGCATCCCCGACTCAACCCTCACCCGAAGCAGTATCTGATCGCTCTAACCGTAGCTTCGCATCAGTCATGAGAATGGGCTCTCATTTCACGACAACGTTGGGCAATCAACATGCATAATGATGATGGGCGGGCCGGGGAATAGACTAAACAGGAAAGAAGGCTGATTCGGAGACCCATCTACTCCATCTTTCCCTTGGCATCTTCCCGCCGCTAGGTAGTGTAAGGGTTTTCCATGAGTTCATGACTGACGCGTCTTAGCCAGGCTGACGATATCACTAGGTATTGAAGCCATGCTAGTACGACGACGAGAGCAGTCTGCCCATCAACTTTATTTCAGAAGCTTTCGGATACGAGGGAAAATCTCAGGCTCTGGTACTCGCCTCGTCAGTGGCTGTCAGCCGTGGCTAATCACGTTTAGCTGCTCTACCTGGTCGAAGTAGCAGGAATTCACAACCAAGCCATTGTTTCAAGCCATGAAAAGCTCGGGCTTTGGGAATTTAGCCAGACACGAGGACTTTCATTTGACACAGCGGATGACCGCATCCACGTTCTCATGTCTCGAGCAACATGATGGGCAAGATGCCAATTAGTCATTGCCCTCCTCGACGCCTGCTTCAGCGCCTGGTCCATTGGTAGACTACCTCCGATCAAGGCTGCATTTGGTCTTTTTGAAAGTACCACCTACGCCTGCACGCACGAGACGTCCTCTACCAACTCTGCCCTTTGGAGCAGCAATCTAGGAGGAGTCTAGGAGATGAGAGCTGCGTCAGTGCTCGGGTGGAGCGCAGCTTGCTTGTTCCCGAGCCCTCCCCCAAAACCCGCTGGAACTGACTGGGCTGGTCGACTCATGTCGCCTTGGAGCGAGCAGGGGACCTGGGCAGCACGAGCAACATTGCAGCGCAGCATCCGCCGCCGCCGCCGTCTGTGTTGCCCCTGCGCCTATTTACCCTTCCCTGCAGCCGTTCTCCCGTGGTCTGTGTCCTATCGCCCGCCGTTCGCCTCATCTGTATCTGATGCAAGGTACGGATACACTCATCTGCTCGCAAGCAATCTCGAGTCGAACTCGAGACGGAAGGGCCAAGATCGCTGGATGGATGTCGACTGCTACCATACTCCGCAATCGACCTTTCCTTGCTTCGCATATCGCGGACTCGGACCCGGGACCCCTCGTCCAAGCTCCTCCCATCATCCTCCGAGGATAAGATGAGATGAGATCACGGCTCGCTGCGAAGGCCGCGGCCGACCCACCACCAACTAGCACGTCCCGCCCAGCAGTAGCAAACAAAAATCGGGACTTGCGAGAGGAAGGGGAGATAAAAGAGGCCGCGAGACATGGGCGGTAAAGCAAGCCCTGTGAAAGGCAGGCGGAAGAGGAGGATTCGCATCTGACTGGTGGTGAAGCCCTCCATCCCCCCTCTTTTATTTTCGTTCTACTGAGGAAAACCAGGTCCGTGGCTGCTGTCATTCCGCCGGGCACGTTTCTCGTCGGGGAATTGCAGTGAAGTGCATCGCGCCAGTAGGTAGTGCCGAGTCCGTCTCGAGACAAGCGTCAGCAGCAACGGGATGAGAGGACAGAAGAAAAGGCGGAGTTATGAAGAGCAGCATTGCAGAGAGCAGAGAAAGGGTGTCGTCTTAGCTCTGCTTTAAGCGCCGACGTTGCCCTCGATCCAGGGAGTCCCCCGTCTGGCTCACCCACACACCCGCCCGCCATCCCCCACCCCTCCTCTGCCTGTCACCCCATGCCCTGTAGGAGGAGTGAGGCAGAAGACGAAGTGTGTGTGTCTGCGGATGTGTGTGTGTGTGTGTGTGTGTGTATGTTGGTAGAGGTGTGTGCGCGCGGAAGCTGCATGGTCTCGTCCACGCTACTCATTGCTCTAGTTCCTTTCTCTGTCTCTCTTCCACCACCTCTTCCTTTCCCATTCGCACGCGGAGCAAAGTAGTGCAAGCTGGCCAAGGGGATACACGCCCGGTACGGACACATGCGTTGAGCCTTCTTGCAGAAAGAAGAATATGCAACCCACGCTTCTCTTGGGAGGCATCTGCGGCCGCAGGACAAGAGGCCCTCGGCTATGCAGGTTCGCCCACGATTTGGGCTCCGTGACTTATTCTCCCATTGAGTTGCTGCTGCTGGGTGAACTTCAGATGGTGGCGCGTGTGGGGTAGGGACGGGGCGGGGATGGGGGCAGCTTTCCAACGACAGTCTATCTATATCCGTACTCCATCCAGAATCTCGCTTTTCGCCCCCTTCGACGACGACATTTTGAAGGGCAGCCACGCGAAAGCGGACGGCGCAAGATGATGGCGGTGCCGTGCACGCACGCACGAGCGCGAGGCTGGCACGGCTGGCACGGCTGGCACGGCTGGCTAACGAGAAAGAAGCCACGCTCCTCCGTATCCACACGGGTTGGAGACTGGCAAGAGAGCCCTTCTCTTTTTTTTTCCCCCTTAGGCGGCACGGCGGGCTTGTCCTGTCAGGCACGCGCCGCCCGGCAGCCAGCCTTTAGTGCCCGACGGCTTCGCGGCGAGGATGGGAACCACGGATCACTCGAACTGTTATGGACGGGATGGGCAGTCAAGTGTCTAGGTAGTGTGGGCTTTTGGCTTCACTACCGTACCGTGGGAGTCTGGACCCTAACGCGCGAACTGGACCGGTCCATCCGTTCCCAATCCAACCCAAATTCGTTACAATGATCGCATACAATGGTACAATGTTTGTTTCCTAGTTGAAGGATACCCCAGGTGGAGATGGGGAAAACGAACTGAACGCATCAAAGATGAAGATGAACATTGTTTTTTTTCTTCTTCTCTCTACTGCCAGAAGCCGTTTTGATTGAGAACAAATCACTTTTTTTCGTTGCAAGCCTGAACTCCCATCACCCCTTTTCCCTCCCTTCCTTTTCATCTCTGTATCTTCGTCTCTCCTCTGTAATGCAAAAAGCAGCATGGTGATACCGTGTAAACGCTTGCCTGGACTGCAGAAACCAACGTCGCCCTTGATCCCCGTCAAACACACATCCTCCCATCCATCCTTCCATCCCTCCCCAGCTCCCGTCTCCCATCGAAATCTCGGCGGCAAGAAAACGAGATAGAGAGCAGGGAAGATGCCTCGACGCCGCCCATCAAAGGGGGGAGCTTTAACCCCCCCCGCCGCCACGAAATATCTGCTTGCGGCCAACACACATTCCCACATCCCATGCTCGGTAAGGAAAAGTAGGTAGCGTACCAAGACTGCAAAAACCCCACACACTCTTTTACTCGCCCAGCTCAGCCTTGTTCCTTTGGGAAAAGGAGAGAGAGTCGCAACCAAACAGTGCCATTGTGTTTCCCGGCCTTGGCTTAGAGCTTACGCGCGTAAGATGCAGTAGGGGTCGGCCGGTTCCTTTCGTTTCAATGTTCGCTTTTGAAAGGAGGTAGGGTAGCGTGCTTCTCCTTTTTCTTTTCTTTTGAGTTTGCACACGATGCCATGGAATCGGGACTCGAGTAAGATCGCGGCAGGTAACTTGGAGGGAAGGGGGCGTGGAGGGGGGAGGATGGCGGAGGAAAGAGGCAAGTGGCTTGAATTTTGTGTTCCCTTCGCCAAAATGGGGGGTTTGCGGACGAGGAGGACCCCGAAGGCGGGCTGAAAGTCTGGGTCTGGGCTGGGCTGGGCTTGTTTCTCCTTGGGCCAGGCAAGGCATTTTGAGGCGGCGTGGGGAGAAGCATGACGACAAACGGCCGCCATGCGCCGCCGAGTTTTAGCTCGTCGCCGCGTTCGTCAGCGCTTGACGATTGTGACTGCGAGTAGTTTGAAGATGTTAGTGCCATTGTTTTGCTTTTCCTTAACCGAACTTCACTTGACTTGAGGCACGCTTCCTTTCCTCGCCGGCTCTTGTAGAGTAGTTCGCGGGGGCAAATGAAGGTTTTGAGATGATGATGATGACGACGACGGCGACGACGACGATGACCAGGGAAACTAAGGATTGGTGGGGGGAATCCTCGACACAAGATGAAAACGTACCGATATCCTCGTCGGCTAGCTCGTGAGATAGACCGACGCGCTGAGGCTGATGCTTTACGGACTTGCCGTACACAATGGCGGTCTTGAACTGTTCGAGGATACTCCTGTGAATTTGGTTACACTAGACGGAAACACGAACCGGTCAGCTAAGCGTAGCGAGCAAGAGCAAGCCGCAGCGATATGCGCTTCCGTCCGTCCAACTTTCGCGCGCCCCTTTGTCGCAGGGGAGAGAAAAGAAGGTTCACCCTACGACACGGGTTCGCTCGGGACGAGACGCAATGTCACGCGGAGGACCGGCTACTCACGAAATCTTCGACCGTGCACCTGTTTGAGCGGAGCACGACGGGCTGAGAGTAATCTGGCAGTTTGCCCTTTGGCTTCGTATAAACGCGAACCAGCTTGAGCTTATCCCACCTATGCGCCAAGAAAAGAAAATCAAAAACGTTAGCTTCTCTGGTCTCGTGAGTGCAATTTTAGGGGTAGCGGGTTCATCCTTGTCGTGGACGACGATCGTGTCGCTCCGGGAGGCGAGAACCGGCCGAAGGTCCGACGGCTAACGAGGAAATGAAGGCAAGGGGGAAGACAAAGTTAGAAAATCCTTACATTGCCTCCATCAGCTCATCAATGTTCCAGCCCTGCTCCGAACTGATCGGCACGGCGTTCGGGATACGGTAGAGCAAGTCGAGCTCCTCGATACTGATGGCGTCAATCTTGTTGAGGACGTAGATGACGGGGATGTAGTTTCTGCTCCTCGCCTCGAGGACGTCAATGAGGTCGTCAACGGTGGCGTCGCAGCGAATGGCAATGTCGGCCGAGTTGATGCGGTACTCGTTCATAACGGCCTTGATCTCATCGTGATCAATGTGGGTGAGGGGCACGGTGCTCGTGATGTTGAGGCCGCCCTTTTCCTTCTTCTTGAAGGTGATGTTTGGCGGCGACTTGTTGATGCGGATGCCGAAGCCTTCGAGTTCCGTCTCGATGACACGCTTGTCCGTCAGGGGCTTGTTGACGTCCAGGACGATAAAGATGAGATGGCACGTCTTTGCGACGGCGATGACCTGGCGACCACGACCGCGGCCGTCCTTGGCTCCTTCAATGATACCCGGCAAATCAATGATTTGCAGCGGCGCACCTGAGGAACGCAACAGAATGTCAGCGTTTTCGACCCTTCACTTCCTCGTTCCTTTTCTCTTGCCGTATCGCCGTCCCGGACCACATAAAATCTGTCAAAACGTACCATTGTAAGTGACCTGACCCGGAACGGACGTCAATGTCGTGAACTCGTACGCCGCGGCCTCGGAGTGCTGGCCCGTCAACTTGCTCATCAAGGTACTCTTTCCCACGGACGGGAAGCCGATGAAGCCGATACTCGCGACACCCGTACGCGCAACGTCGAAGCCGGCACCGCCGCCGCCGCCACCACCCGAGGGTGTCAAGAGCTCACGCTTGAGCTTGGCGAGCTTGGCTTTCAGTTGACCCAAATGAAAGGACGTGGCCTTGTTCTTTTGGGTCTTGGCCATCTATTTGAGGGAAGAGAAACCATTCCGTCAGCTTGCTGATTTGCGCGTCGTGTTCTTGTCTGATATATCTGTGTAGAGGGTGGAGGGGGATTTTTTCCTGATGTCGTCGGATCGAAGATTTGGGTTTCTAGGGCGCGGATGCCTGTCTGTCGCCAACGTCACGAACGCATGTTCCCTCGTTCAGATCATAGACAGAGACAACCTTCGAGTTTTCTCGATATCGTCGACGACGGGAAAGGGGGCGGGACGAGGCTTGCCCTCGGTTTGAAGGTGGAGGGGAAGGAGGGGTTGGACACGTACTTCGGCCTCGATATCTTTGATCTACATGAACAAAAGTGTTAGTCAAGGTGGTGTCCTCGCGAATAGATAAGGGAGAAAGGATGCAAAATCCAATCTAGCCGGCTGTGAAGGTCTCCGCGAGAAACTTTACCTTGTCAACTGTGGTCGCCATGATTGCGGTGTTTCGTCACTCGAGACGTTCCTGCGCTGTATGGAGGGGTTCGATTTGTGGATGGCTAGCTTTTCCGATTGCGACGTCGACGTCCAAGCCGCGGGCAGAAGAGAAAGCGAATAGAAAGTGTGCCGTGGCTCGCAGAGTTTGTGGGGTATCAAATAAGTAACGTTCGTCGTCGTCCAACTTCTGTCTCGCTGCCCAGGTTTGGGTTGATGGTTCTGGCAGTTGGTGATTCCGGTTGTGCACCTGGTGGTGGATTTTGGGGTGCAAAATGGCGGGGACACTGGCACCTTGTGCGAAAAGGCTAAGGTACTGCACATGAAATTTCAGCGGGGCATGGTGGGAATGCACCGCCTTCATTGGCTGCACAGGTTTTTTGAACGCAGTGATGTCAGAAACCTGAATCGTTCAACCAAAAGTCTTCAATATCTTGGGTAAGAAACGCCAGCACTTGGTTTGGTGCTTGATGATGCGCAACAATTCTTGAAGATATTGAAAAAGGCACGAAGCAATGGCCAGGACTGACAGCATTGTGAATGTGTTATTTTCGTCGTCTACCTTCCCTATCCCTGTGTCCCATCCCGACTAGTAATGCTTCCCAGGCTCCCAAGCTCTTGATTCTCGGCACTCGTCCAGATCTAATCATGGCCATCCAATCCGTTGTTCATCAACTGACCACACACAAGAGCTGACTCTTGCGCTTCATGAACTATGAAAGTTCCATTTGTCGATATAGTGCCTTATCACCCAACAGGGCCTAAAGAGTAAATACCATGGTGTTGCTGTCCACAAATTGGCGTGAGTAACACGCCTTTAGCATCCTCCAGCCCCATTTCGAAGTCAAGCAACTGCCCCTATCGTAAGGATCGCAAGGCCAGCTGAAGGGCAGATAGGCAGCTGGGTCTATCTCTGATGATGCACAGCGGTGCCTTGGTACGTTCCATCGGCACTCGGTGCGTAAAGATCCGGGGATTGCTGTGGCAATGTGTACATGTGTATATTAAATATTGGTTCGTTCGATCTACTTGTGATCCAACTCAACTCAGTTGGTGCTTGGCGCCGATACGCCGTTAACGCCATTAGGAACAAGTCTCGGCTCGGGCAACACGGGCGCTGTAGCGGAGGCTGCCGGCTGGGTATCATTGACGGTCTCGACCATTGCCTCTGTGGCATTCGACTGGCTCCGTGGCGACCAATGTCCGCCGTTGGGCATCGTCGGCGTTTTCGTGCCATTCAAAAGGAAGTCAAGCCCTTGTTCTTTGCACACGCGGGCATAGTCGGGGTCGCCAGGGAAAACCTGCTGCAATCCCTTTCGAGGGACCCGCTTCTCGGGAAAGGGTGTGCTGCTTGTGGCAGACAAACCAGGCATCTGCTCCTCGACCATGACACCGTTGATATAATATTTGTTCCTCGGCGCGAATCCCAAGAATCGATCAGCATCGGGGTCCTGTTTCCATTTCTGCGGGACTTGCCATCCGTAGAGTTGGCCTTCATTGTCTGGTAGTTCGCGATACTCAACGCTCATCTTGAGGTCCCGAAGATGCGGAACGTCCTGAGCAATCGACATCAAATCCGACACCTGTATTCCGAGTCAGCCCAACCACACATTTATCATCACCGGAAAAATTAAGACGCACCTTGACGAAGAACATGTCCATCTTCAAGAACTTCTCACGGGCCTCGCCACGGAGTTTTTCCTTTGAGCGGAAGCTCATCTTGAAGGGATCCTCGCCCTCTCCGTAATAATCTGAAAGGCCAGTCCCGAGTTCGTAGAAGTTCTCCTTAAGCAAGGCATACCAATCAGACTCGAGTCTCCAGATGACCTTTTTAGCGAGGTCAGACACGGAAACATGTTCCCAAGCCGCATCTAATTTTCCGTCAGTAATGAGCAACGCGGAAAGATCTTGTGAGCACTTACATTTTGACAAGGAGAGGTCCTTCTCCCCGAGGAGTAGCGCAACATGGGTGTTTAGCACCCACTGTTCTCTACCGTTTGCCGTGCCATTTGCTTGCGGCTGAATAGTGTCGAACCGCACGCCTTGCATATGCTTGAATTTGGCGGCGTATTCCGAAGTCTTGGGGTTCGGGCAAGCGTCGAGCCAGCGCAACAGAGGAGGCAGCTTCGCCACGCGCACGCGTTCTTGCTCCTCGAGGATACGGCGCTGCTCGGCCTCTTTAGCAGCTCGCTTGCGCTCCATCTCCTCGCGTTCAAGTCGCTCCTTGCGCTCACGCTCTTGCCGTTCCTCCTCTTCGCGAACTCGCTTGGCTTCCTCGGCAGCTTCGCGCTCGATGCGTTCCTTGCGGAGTCTCTCCTTCTCTTCTCGCTGCTTGCGAGCTTCTTCCTCTTTCCTCTTCGTTTCTTCCTCCTCACGTCGCTTCTTCTCCTCCTCCTCGCGAAGCCTTCGTTCTTCTTCTTCACGCTCGCGTTGCTTCTTCTCTTCGGCCTCGCGCCGCTGCCGTTCTTCTTCCTCCTGGCGTTTCTTTTCGAGTTCGGCCTTGCGCTTGCGTTCCTGCTCCTCACGATGTCTTGCTGCTTCCTCCTCCTTCAGGCGTTTCTCCTCAGCCTCGCGCTCACGCTGTTTCTGCTCAACTTCACGTTTCTTCTGCTCAGCCTCTCGCTTCTTCTCTTCAGCCTCGCGTTCGCGTTGACGAGCCTCCTCTTTTTTGCGGGTTTCTTCGGCCTCAGCGTCACGGCGCTTTCGTTCTTCTTGACGCTTCTCTTCTCTCCTACGCTCCTTCTCTTCGAGACGCCGCTTCTCGTCGTCGCGCTCCTTCTTGATTCGTGGTTCCGCTTCCACTGTGTCCTTTACTTCCGACGCATCTGGCATCTCGATGTCGAAATCCTCAGATTTAACGTGGATACTAGACTTATCACTATTGCTCGATTTACCGGATTCTCGTCTGTGGCCATCGACATCTATCTTAGCCTTAGTCGGTCTCCGATCGCTGTCGTCGTGGTCTCTCAAGCTGGACTTGGATCGAGGCGGGCCATCACGAGGTGCCCTGTGAGGATCATCGGGTGAAGCGGTCGATTTTGGTCGTCGCTCCTTACCCTCAACATCAAGCCGCCTACGCTTCACGGGTGCTTCGCCTTCATCCTTGTCTCCCGTGCTTGAGTGTGGTGGCGTGACACTAGAACGATGTCGTTTGGACGAATTATCGCCAGACACCGATAGCCGATCCCGAGACTCGTCCCTCTTGAGAGCTTTCGTGCGATCGTGGTACTTCTCCGACAGCGGCTCGCCCTTTGGCTTCTCGGGATGATCGTCAAGTTTTGTTGGGTCGCGAGGGCTCGAGGGATCTTTCAATGATGATGTGGTGGACACCATGCTCGCTCGTCGGTTCTTTTCTCTCTCGCCACGAAGCTCCCCCTTGGATACGAGCTTACGGCGCGGCTTAGCAGCCTCTCCTTCAGAGGACATCGCGGCGACGTCGGACTCGGCTCGTTTCGCTGCTTTAGCAGCCTGCTTCTGCGAAAGTGCGGGTGAAGCCTCTCGGTCTGAAACAGCGATTGTAGGTACTCGGTCTTCTTTACGCGGCCTGCCAGGACCACGCTTCGGTGAGATCTGATCTTCGTGAAATGAATCCGCCCTACGTTTCTCCTTTGGACTTGTGATGGTTCGTCCAGAAGAAAGTTTCTTCCTTTTCTCCGGGTCACGGGACGGGCTAGAAAGGTTACGTTTGTGCGCACGCGCTTCATCCTTGAGTTCATTCCGACCTTGGCGCTTTGTCTCGCGGTCCTGCTCTCTGTCGCGGTCCTTTTCGCGTTCTTTTTCACGCTCGCGTCTGCCAGGAGATTTTGTCTTTGAAATGTCGCGGTGTGACTTTCTATAGGCATCGTAAGACTCCTTGAGCATGTGCTCCTCGTCTTTCCAGTTCGTTCCCTGTCGACGGCGGGCAATTTCGTGATAGGTCTCGCCTTTGAATCGGCGAGTCGGATCAAAATTCCCCTGGTCCAAGAGTAGTCTGACGACCTTAATGTTTTCCTGGCCGATCGCCGCCAACATTGGGGTGGCGAATTCGGGTGGCATGCTCGAAACAGGTGCAGGGTCTGGGTTCGCTCCACCAAGAGCCAGGAGCAGTTGAATCACTACTTCATGGCCTCCACGAGCAGCAGCAACCATGGCTTCTGAGTCATCGCAACCGTCCTTGACTTGCAAAATCCGCGTAACAGTCTCTTCGTCACCCTTTCCTGCAGCTTGCCGTAACGTCTTGTCGTCAAGTGACATGTACAAGAGATGATTGCTTGTCTTGTTTGCCCTGACGGTGCCGGCTCGCCGACCGCTGGCGTTGGACGCAGATGGTGCAGGTGACCGACGAGGGCTGTCTGGGCCATGAGATGATCTACTGTCGAATTGGTCGGTAGGGTGGTGATCTTCGGATGTACGTCTGCGTTCTCCTTGTCGCGACTTGGCTTCGTTCAATGCGGCTCGGAAATCGTCTGCATTCTCCAAATCGTCGCTGACTCGGTCCAAGGGTTCCTCTCCGCTCAGGTTGGCTTTCCTCGGGTTTACCCCCGCATTCAGCAACAGCTTGACCACTCCCAAGTGACCGTTGTCGACAGCGTCTAACAATGGTGTGTCTTTGTCATAGTTGACACAATCCAAATTGCAGCCCGCGTCGATGAGGAGCTTGACGATGTCCTCGTATCCGTTAATCGCAGCAATCTGAAGTGGCGTGTTGCCAGCATAGTCGGCCACATTGAGATCCTCGGGTCGCTCTCCCAGTCTTTGCTTGGCCAGGTCGTACTCGCCTCGGGCACATGCCCTAGCGAGGAAGGTTTGGCCGTGGGCGTCGAGGTGTTTCTTGTGTGGTGCAATCTTGGCCGGCGACATATTTGACTCGGCGGTGGCGGGGGTGGAGAGGTTTCGCAGCTTGGAGCTCCGAGGATGAGGGCTACCACTGGCAGAGGATTCATCCGAGTGATAGTCTGTAGATTGCAGCGGCGGAGGCAGACGTTTCTTCTTGTAACTCAGGCCATTAGACGAGTTTGCGGG